CAACTTGTTTGTATTAAAAAGTAAAACTGAAATAAAAGAAATAGAAAAATATAATACAAAAAAATTATTACATTTTTAACTAAAATGAAAATTTTTTAAATAAAAATGCATGAAAAACTACAGTATAATAGTATCTCACTAAAATAACACTGGTGTGAGCTGATGGACAATGTTGAAAATTGGTGGAGAATCAATATTTTTTTAGAACGTCCCGTGCTTCATGTTTTGTCTGAAAGTGTTTCTTTCTTTCTTTTGCTCAGCCCATTCAAACAGAAAAGGTTTATGATTCATCTGTGTCAATCTTTTTGTTGAGTGTATTAAAACGCTTTTTTTTTAAAGAACAACAAGACACAAAAATATTTGCATTCAATATTTTACCATAAACAACATTCTTTTAGAGGGTGTAAATAAAACAAAGACATGCCATTTGAAATATGAAATTTATTTCCCTTTATTTTAGAAGTTCCATTATTTTCTATAAAACAGATTTGGAATGTTGATTCATATCCATGTGCAATTTTTTCCCCACAATATAATGTTTGTCAAAGTAAACAAAGATGTGTTGGTCTTATAAAACTCCTCTTCATACAGTAGGCACTGGACTGGAGATCATGTGATGGTGTAGAACTGAATAAAGCTTTTGTAACAGCATTATTTGAATACATCACACATATCAACCTATACTGTATACAGTACGGCATTTTATTATCAGTGTGCATGCATTAGAAGTATTCAATAAGATCCTGTTGAGTTTTCGATGTCTGGATGCTGTGCAGCTGGAGTTTTTCTCCACTGTGAGGAAGCGACTTATGCACCCTCAGATGAACGAATTCATCGCCTCCTACATTTACCTGAAGAGGGAGATATGGAGCATGAGAATACTCAGTTTACACATGCTTTGAACTCTTAGAAAGTAGATATTGATGGCAATATGCAAGCTGTAACATGGCAGTCCAAACAGCTGATAAAAACACCACTCCAGTCCATCAGTTAACAATTTATGAAGACAAAAGCTGCATGTTTGTGCACGTTATTATGGATTATGGACTGCATTTTGACTAGAAGCAATGGTTTGAATCTAAAAACGCCTTAATGATGGATTTGTTTCTTACAAACGCACAGCTTTTGGCTTCACAAGGCATTAACTGATGGACTGGAGTGGTGTGGATTATTGTGATGTTTTTATCAGCTGTTTGGACTCTCATTCTGACGGCACCCATTCACTGCAGAGCAAGTGATGCAATGCTACATTTCTCCAAATCTGATGAAGAAACAAACTCATCTACAGCTTGGCCCGAGGGCGAGCACATTTATTTATTTTTTTAGCAAATTTTCATTTTGGAGTGATCTGTTGCCTCATATCCTGGTCTTCAAAGTTTACCTTGATAAAGTAGTTGGTTCCAGCCACAACCTGTGTGGTAAAAGATTTGGCAACGAAAACATCAAACGTCTTCCCTGCCTTCTCTTCTGCATGATGTTTGACCTGAATCAAAAGACAGGGATTTCAGAATTAATGCAAACATGTTTAATTGAAAACAATCTTAATTTGGTCCTAAAATGTGCTTCTTTTTCATAAAACATAATGTCATGTGTTTTGACCTAGACTGAAAAAGCCTGTTTTGCAGGAAGTATGTGATTTGTCAAGTTTGACGAATTACTACGACACACCAGAATACTTCCCCAACATCATGTGAAGATTACTCATTTATTCAAGTTACGTATAAGCATTTATTTATTTATGGGTCTAGACTATGATATACAGTTAGGTCCATATATATTTGGACACAGGTACAATTTTTATTATTTTAGCTGTTGACCAAAACATATTAAAGTTACAGTTATATAATGAATTTGGGCTTAAAGTGCATGCTGTGAGCTTTACTTTGAAGGTATTCTCATCAAAACTGGAGGAAAGGTTAAGGAATTACAGCCTCCCCCCCTTTTTCAAGAGACCATAAGTAATTGGACAGTACTCAAAAGCCGTTTCATGGACAGTTGTGGGCTATTCCTTCGCTATTTCTACATCAATTAAGCAGGTAAAAGGTGTGGAGTTGATTCTAAGTGTGCCATTTGCATTTGGAAGCTGTTGCTGTGAACCACATCATGCGGTAAAAGGAGCTCTCCATGCAAGTGAAACAGACGATTGTTAGGCTTCAAACACAAAACAAATCTCTCAGAGAGATAGCAGGAACATTAAGAGTGGCCAAATCAACAGTTTGGTGCATTCTGAGAAAAGAAGAACGCACTGGTGAGCTCAGAAACATGAAAAGGCCTGGACGTCATGTAGGACAGCAGTTATGGATGATCGGAGGATCCTCTTCATGGTAAAGAGAAACCCTTTCACAACATCCAGCCAAGTGAAGAACACTCTCTAGGAGGTAGGCATGTCATTGTCAAAGTCTACAATCAAGAGAAGACTTCACAAGAGCAAATACAGAGGGTTCACCACAAGGTGCAAACCATTCATAAGCCTCAAGAATAGAAAGGCCAGATTAAACTTTGCCAAAAAAAACATCTAAAAAAGCCAGACCGCTTCTGGAAAAGCGTTCTTTGGATGGATGAAATTAAGATCAACCTGTACCAGAATGACAGGAAGAAGAAAAGTATGGAGAAGGCTTGGAATAGCTCATACAACATCATCTGTGAAACATGGTGGAGGCAGTGCGATGGCATGGGCATGCATGGCTTCCAGTGGCACTAAAAATGTCCAAATATGGACCTAACTGTATAAAGCAATACACACACTGTATGTGTAATTGTCACTGTATGGTTAGGCAAAATTAAACACTTAATAATAGGCTCTTTAAAGACTATATTCAATTCTTCCATAATACAGTACGTCACACAATTTAAGTACATTTAATAAAATATCATAAAATATACAAATGAAATGCAAAGAACCTTTTTTAATTGCTTGTTTGTAACTTTTTAAGCTTCTATAAATACTATTTAATACCAACAATCGCTGTTGCAAGCTATTGTTGTACATTTGACAGACATTCTGACTTTGAGTCATTAAGGAAGCTGAACATAGTTATCCATATTAATAGTTTTTATTTATTATTTTATTGCCATAGCATAGTAACTTCTAGTCATCTAGCAGACATTTTTATCTAAAGCGACTTCCAAATGAGGACAATAGAAGCAATCAAACTAACAAAAGGGCAATAATATGTAAGTGCTGTGACAAGTCTCGGTTAGTCTAACGCAGTACATGTAGCAAGATTTAAAAAAATAAATAAATAAAAAGAAAACAAGTAGACAGAATAGAAAAAGAATAGAGAATGCTAGCGTTAGAGGCTCTTTTTTATTTTTTTTAAAGACAAGTAGTAAGAATAGAACTAGAATAGAGTGCAAGTGATAGAGGGTCTTTTTTATAAATAAAATAAAAATGTCAAAATAATAGAGAATGCTAGTGTTAGAGGCTCTTTTTTATTTTTTTTAAAGACAAGTAGTAAGAATAGAACTAGAATAGAGTGCAAGTGATAGAGGGTCTTTTTTATAAATAAAATAAAAATGTCAAAATAATAGAGAATGCTAGTGTTAGAGGCTCTTTTTTATTTTTTTTAAAGACAAGTAGTAAGAATAGAACTAGAATAGAGTGCAAGTGATAGAGGGTCTTTTTTATAAATAAAATAAAAATGTCAAAATAATAGAGAATGCTAGTGTTAGAGGCTCTTTTTTATTTTTTTTAAAGACAAGTAGTAAGAATAGAACTAGAATAGAGTGCAAGTGATAGAGGGTCTTTTTTATAAATAAAATAAAAATGTCAAAATAATAGAGAATGCTAGTGTTAGAGGCTCTTTTTTATTTTTTTTAAAGACAAGTAGTAAGAATAGAACTAGAATAGAGTGCAAGTGATAGAGGGTCTTTTTTATAAATAAAATAAAAATGTCAAAATAATAGAGAATGCTAGTGTTAGAGGCTCTTTTTTATTTTTTTTAAAGACAAGTAGTAAGAATAGAACTAGAATAGAGTGCAAGTGATAGAGGGTCTTTTTTATAAATAAAATAAAAATGTCAAAATAATAGAGAATGCTAGTGTTAGAGGCTCTTTTTTATTTTTTTTAAAGACAAGTAGTAAGAATAGAACTAGAATAGAGTGCAAGTGATAGAGGGTCTTTTTTATAAATAAAATAAAAATGTCAAAATAATAGAGAATGCTAGTGTTAGAGGCTCTTTTTTATTTTTTTTAAAGACAAGTAGTAAGAATAGAACTAGAATAGAGTGCAAGTGATAGAGGGTCTTTTTTATAAATAAAATAAAAATGTCAAAAGAATAGAAAAATAATAGAGAATGCTAGCGTTAGAGGCTCTTTTTTATATTATTTTTAAAGACAAGTAGTAAGAATAGAACTAGAATAGAGTGCAAGTGATAGAGGGTCTTTTTTATAAATAAAATAAAATAAAAATGTCAAAAGAATAGAAAATGCTAGTGTTAGAGGCTCTTTTTTATTTATTTTTTAAAGACAAGTAGTAAGAATAGAACTAGAATAGAGTGCAAGTGATAGAGGGTCTTTTTTATAAATAAAATAAAATAAAAATGTCAAAAGAATAGAAAATGCTAGTGTTAGAGGCTCTTTTTTATTTATTTTTTAAAGACAAGTAGTAAGAATAGAACTAGAATAGAGTGCAAGTGATAGAGGGTCTTTTTTATAAATAAAATAAAAAAGTCAAAAGAATAGAAAAATAATAGAGAATGCTAGCGTTAGAGGCTCTTTTTTAAAGAAAACTAGTAAGAATAGAAAAAGAACTGAGAATGCTAGTGTTAGAGGGTCATTTTTTATAATAAATAAAAAGAAAACAAGAAGATAGAATAGAAAAAGAATAGAGAATGCCAGTGTTAGAGGGTCTTTTTTATTAATTTATTTTTTAAGACGACAAGTAGTAAGAATAGAACTAGAATAGAGAGTGCAAGTGTTAGAGGGTCAAGTGTTTTTTTACTTCTTTCTTTTCTTGGAATTAAAATAGCGAGTGCTAGAGTCAGAGGGTCAAATGAAGATGGAAGAGATGTGTTTCAGTGGTTTCTTGAAGATGGTTAAGGACGCCGCTGCTCGGGTTGAGTTGGGCAGCAGGAGGGAACGGTTAATGTGAAAGTCCGTGAAAGTGATTTTGTGCGTCTTTGGGATGGCTCTATAATGCGCCGTTCACTTGCAGAGCTAACTAATAAATAATAAACAGCTTATAATAACTGATAAATACACTAAGCTAATAAATACACATCACGTGCATTCCCACATCAGCTGACTTACAGCATCAAAACAAACACAGAAGCTCCAGTCTCACCTCATCGCAGATCTTCTGCACCTCAGCAGTGGCTTGCTTCACCTCGGATGGACCTCCAACCATTGTTGCCATTGCTCTAATGTTTGGTTGATCGGTGTCGAGATGTAGAGAAACTGTGTTTCTGACCGTCCAGCTGACAGAAATGTCACTGCTACAGTATTTATGTGGTATCTAGATCATATGACTATGAGCCATCGGCGGAATGTACCATGTGCTCGGAAGAGCCGGGGGTTGATCAAAAACTATTTTACAACAATTTCACAGAGTTATGACTATAACAGTACTGACATACAACTAAATCATGTATAAAAAAAAATAGTACGTTTTGTTTGAACGTGAAATACATGTATGTATCATAACATCTGATATATCATGGTTATTTCCTCTTATATTTTGGTTTAGACCGACACAAAAGTGAGTGGAAATACAATTGTGGGCGTGGCTTAGCAGACCAGGCGTTCTCTCTGATTGGTGAACTCCGGTGATATAATTAATTCATTTTCCTGTTTTAACTACACACTGTATATGTTCGATATAATGGCTTTTAAAATTACTTAATGAAATTATTAACTAGTACATTATTGTCCATGACAGCTGCAGACGCATTAATGCAAGCGACGCAGTCACGTGGTGTGTGTGACTTTTCTCAGCGCTGATCTGAATGGACCGATCACACTCGAGTGTGGTTACTAGATAAAGATTTGCTTTAATTACGTTTAAAGGAATAATTGGGGGAAAACATTGCATGTCTGTATTAGACATTGTTCATTTAAATTAATAGGTTTAAACGGTTATAGTGAAAGATCTCCAATAAAAGATAAAACCCCCACATATGCACAAGAGGACGATAGAGAAATCGGCTTTTGAGCCTCCGAGCGCCGCCTGGAGGAAAACATGCTTCATTTCTCACGATAAACGCGATCAGCGACACTTAGATCCGTGTAATCGCATCAATCATACGCTGATAGTTAAACCAAACACACTGCTTTAGAGCAGTCATAGCTGCACCTTTCAGACTTCACTCTATCTGTGGTTAAAAGCGCACGTGTCTTATCTCGAATTCGATAGAGTTGAATAGAGTGATGCATCTGAGTTCAAGTGTGTGCGCTCTTGCGGCGCTCCTGCTTCTGTCAGTCTCAGCAGACAGCTCGGATCAATGTGATGATGGAGCTGACAGCTGCAGTAAATGGACCGAGACCTCTCACAATCGACCTCTAAATACAGGTGAAGTATTGAGCTCTCACTGTATCTGCAAATAATCATGTCTGAAATGTCAGAGAAATGTTTTAAAAATCGACTTGAATGTGTATTTGTATTCCACTGGCTTATATGCGAAACAAAGTAATGTTGTGCATTTAACGAACGTGGGAAAAGTAACATCTGTCATTCATAGTGAGCATGGGAGTTTGCACGTATGGCCAGTGACTCAGGGGTCAGTGAGGGTTGCATCATCTGATGAACAGAGTTGGCTTGGCCATAACCTGCCTGATATCTATGAAAGCCCTCTTCTGTCACATAAGGGGAAAAAAGGATTTGGTAAATTGTAATTAGGAGATAAAATGTTGTAATTATGACACTATTAATGACTAATTATGAGATAATAATTCAATTAATTACGAGAAAAGGCCAATTATGACACGAAAAAGTCAATAGTATGAGATAGTGTCGTAATTAAAAATAGAAATTATGACAAAAATGATCAGATAAAAAGGCAATTATGACATAGGAAGTCATAATTATGACAAAAAGTCAAAATTATGAGATGTAAATGATGTATAGAGAAATTAATTATGAGATCATTATGAGATAAAGTCGAAAAAGACAAATGAGATGTAAATTACGTGTAGAGAAATTAATTATGAGATAATTATGTGATAAAGTCGAAAATGACAAAAAGTCAATATTATGAGATGTCAATTATGTGTAGAGAAATTAATTATGAGATAATTATGAGATAAAGTCAAAAATGACAAAAAGTTGGAGTTATGAGATGAAAATGTCATAATTATGAGATAAAAAGTTGTAATTGTTATATGAAAAGTCAAAATTATGAGATACTAAATCATAATTATGAGATAAGGTAAAAAAAGACAAAAAGTCAATATTATGAGATGTAAATTATGTGTAGAGAAATTAATTATGAGATAAAAAGTTGTAATTGTTATATGAAAAGTCAAAATTATGAGATACTAAATCATAATTATGAGATAAAAAGTAGAAATTATGACAAATATAAAAACTATGAGACGAAAAGCCATAACTTGAGTCATAATGATGAGATAAAAAGTCATAATCATCAGATAAAAGTCAATCATGACATAAAAAAATTTGACTCGTCTCAAAATTACTCACACGTATGTAATAATTTGAACTCTATATCTCATAATTATTATGTTCTAATTATGATTTTTACAAAGCATGATTCCCCCCCCCCCCCCTGTGTTTCCATAGACATTTTAAGGCCAATGATTATAGCATTTTGCATTAAATAAATATTATCCAGATTGTTGCATTGCCAGGTTTTGGCGTTTTGGAATTCTTCAGTGTTTGTATTGAAGTATTCAACAGGTTCTGCAGATGTAGTTTTTCTACAGAATTCATCCCCTCCTGTACTTGAAGAGGGGGATATGAAGAAGGAAAACACTTTAAACTGGTACACTTTCAGCAGGTAGATAGGCTACTGATGGCAAGTTGCCAGTACTTTTCAGAGTTTAGCTTGATAGTGGTTGGCAGTGAAAACATCAAACTTCTTCCCAGCCAATTAATATGTGCAAATATTAATGCAAATGTGTGTGTCTTGAAAATATTGTCTTAGCATTGTCCTAAAATGTTCTTAATTTCTTAAATTTTCATAAAAATATACTTCATTTTTATTTTCATCCATACATGTGATAGTTAGCATATATTACTATTACAATATTACTGTTTTTACTGTATTTTTGATCACATAAATGCAGCCTTTGGTGAACAGAAGAGACTTTAAAAACATTAATCAAATTTACCAACCCTAAAAATCGTTCACAAAAAAAAAATAGGTTAGGTTTGAAATGATAAAATAGTATTTGATAAAATAGTATTTGTAGTTCCAGTTATCTATATTTATCCATAATCAAGGTATCAGATATTAAATGATAAATGATAAAATATATCTAACAGATAGATAAATAATAGATAAATACAGCTTTCCAATATGAATTAGCAGCAGGATGATTTCAATACTCAGATGTGTGCTCACCCGTCGTGTGCTTCAGATGATGTTGTGACGTACGAGCAGCTGAAGGAAATGATGTCCACCGGAAGCGTTCCGGCATTATTAATATAATAATATAAGCATTATTTGTTTATTATTATTAGCATTATTTGACATAATTTGAAAATATTTTAATGTAATTTTAGCTGCATTTTTGAGTAGTTTAGTTTAGTAGTTTAGTTTGTTTGTGATTTTTATTATCGTTTTTAAATATCAAATATCTATATCGTTTTTTTTACTTGATTTCAGTTTTAATTATTTTATCACATCAAGTTAAACTTAATGAAAATGAAAAATGTTGCCTTCGCCTTCGAAATAAAATAAGTTTAAGTTTTATATATATATATATATATATATATAGTTTATTTTTGTTAGATGTTTATTCTATTTAAAGTAAAACACATTTTTTATGGTTTTAGTTTTTTTTTTTGCTAGAAAAGTCTTTCATATGTTACTTTTTTTTTTTTAAACATAATTTTAAAAGTGTTTTTATTTATTTATTTATTTATTTTTACATCAGTTATATTACTGTTTTTTTCCAGTAGTTGTAGGAAGCTTTGTTTCATAAGTAGCACAATTATGATTTATGTTTTCTTTTCTTCTGGGGACATTTACATACATTGCATCTCAAAACAGTTGGCAAAATAAAGTTACAAATCATTGTAATGCTACAGACATTTGCTCTAAAATATTATATTGGCTAGAAAACGCTCTACAAACATTGCAATTAAATGTGTTTTGTTTTTAAATCCTCATTTGGAAATCACAAAAACCTCATGATAATTCATTTGATTTATGCTCACAAACAACAAAACTCATCGTAAGTGTGTCTGTCTCTCAGAGCCCGTCATTATGCTGGAGGATACAACGAGTGGATTCAGCTGGAACCTCAGTAAACGAAGCTCATCTCCGCGCTGTGAAGGACCGGGAAGACCATGACTGAAATGTATACAGCGCTTGACTGTTCAAATTACAACACAGACCAAAAATGTATTATTCATAATATCACAGATGTGTCTATATATTTTTGGTAAAGAAATAAAATAAAATAATAATAAATAAATAATGAATATTTTATTGCAAATGTTTATGATAGTTTGGTTGTTTTTATGCCATAATATGATTTTGATATGATTTTGTCAGCACAAACTTCACAGCAATAGACCCAGCTAAAAATATATATGTTTTTACATACATATTACAAATAATTTTATTTCAGCTAGTTGCCAAAACAACATTTCCCAATTTCATTTAGTTTAACTTGATGTAGTAAAATAACTAAAATTAAAACTATATATATATATATATATATATATATATATATATATATATATATATATATTTAATTTAATCGTTTTTTTTTTTAAAC